GGGTTAACTAGGGGAGCTTCTCCGGCACATCCTAGACACCCCCTGCCATGAGCCTGGAGACCCCCAGGCCTGAGCCCTGCCATTCCATGTGCTGTGTGGAGAGCACCTAAGTACCACGTGCCCCCACCCCAGGTGTGGAAAGGTCACCTGCAGAGGAAGCACACCCAGCAGGACCGGCGCGCGGAGATGGAGTTTATCGGCATGGTGAGCCCACCTGGCCACAGCAGGGACCAGGTCTTGGTCACCTGGGCCTGGCACCAGCACACAGCCCTCTCCTGCCCGACAATGCCCTCGATCCTCTGCTCACAGGAGACCCAGGGGGAGAGAAGCAGAAGCAGAGGAAAGGAAAGCCATCAAGACACACCCCTTCTTCTTCTAGAGCCCCCCTGAGAAATCTCAAATGGGCAGGGACGGTACCACAAGGCATCCCACCCCTGTATCCCTGTGTAGCTGAAAGAGAGGCTTCAGGGAGCTAGTGGAGGGAGCAGGTTGTACAGGCAGCCCCAAGCATCCCACTTCCTCCTGGGGCCAGCCTGGCCTCTCCTCAGCTGTCCCCGGAGTATGGCAAAGTGTGGACTGTGTGGAATGAGAGTGCGTGTATATACAGGCAGGTGAGCAATCCCACCCCCGAATCTGTTCTCTGCTCTCTGAATGTCCCCTGCTGCAGGGAGTTTCCACTAATGGGACAGGTGGGCACTGGCAAGAATAGGAGAGAGGGTCCCTGGGGAGCTGGGCTTTGTCCTGGGCAGCCCCTCAGAGGCCTGGTTGACACAGGCAGAAGTGGGGGCCAGGCTGGGGATCCAAGATGGGAGGGAAGAGCTTTTCCCTGGGGAGGCACCAAGTCTTGACAGGTTGGGCCACCATGGGCTGCAGGGCAGGAGTGGAAGTCAGAGACTTGTTGGGGGCCTGAAGAGCTGAACCCCTAGGAGGGAGAGCAGGTGGAGGGAGGTAGAGCCAGCCCTGGTGGGGAGAGGTTGGGGGGCATGGCATGGCGGTGGGTGAGGAATGAGCCTGGCCGCCTGGGCCCATCAACAGTGTGAGCTCAGCGTTTTCAGTAATTGTCTCTGCACAGAGTGATATTTAAAATACATTTGGGAGCCAATGAGGCGGGAAAGTGGCTTCTAGAGCGGCTGCCAACTCGGCCTTGGGTGGGGCGGTGGGGG